TTCAGTTTCTAAAATGCATTATTCTTATATAGATTAAACCTTGATTCGAATGTAATATTGCGCACTACGAAAACCTATCTTTCAAAACATTTAAAAAATAACCTATTTTAATACTATTTATAAGCAAAGTATATGATGTTTTACCGAAACTATTAATCTCATTTATCAGTTTAAATCCCGTGAAAACAAATTTACAAAAAGTAGTCTAAATTTCGATTAACTTACTGCTTTGCCAATTATAATTAGATCTTTAGTCTATGTTTATTATTTGTCTATAGTAATTAAGTCTTTGGTCCATTATTATCATTTGTCTAGAATGATTGTCCCTGACTGTAATGATTAGTCGGAAGATTATTTTTTTCTTTTTTAAAGATGTAAATTTTATTTTTAAGGTAAGTATGGACTAATTTTTTTCTCTTTTAAAGATGTAAATTTTATTTTCAAGGTAAGTATGGACTAATATTTTTCTTTTTTAAAGATGTAAATTTTATTTTCAAGGTTAGTATGGACTAATTTTTTTCTTTTTTAAAGATGTAAATTTTATTTTCAAGGTAAGTATGGACTAATTTTTTTCTTTCTTAAAGATGTAAATTTTATTTTTTAGGTAAGTATGATTGAATTCAAAAATTGGATTTCATCTTTTGTAACTGGGCTGTTTTTTTTTCTTCTTTCGGGGAAGGTGGAGTTTCTTTTTCAGGTTAATACGGGTTTCAAGAGCCTGAGGTGGTGCCTCTTTTTCTCTCTCATTTTCGCCAAACTTTGTTTTTAGCACTATGTGGTCTATCAGCTTATATGTAATATAATTTTGCTCAGCATAATCTATTCCGGTACTTGTGCCATTAAAAGCTAAGACAATTCAACGTAAAGGATAATGAGATTTTTTTTAAAATTAAATTTTAAAATAAAACTATTTTTAAAATTTATGTAGGACCAGGGCTTAGTACCGATGCATTCACGACTTAGTGTTTAGGACTATTTACTCAGCTTAAGTTATACAGTTTAACGTATTTCGGTTCTTATGTTAAAAAACAAAAGCAATTCCTGAACAGGAATAATAAAATATTCCTTAAAATTTAACATTATTTAACAAAATTTTTAAATATTCATGTTCAAAGATGCGTATTTTCGAAATTTTACATTATTTGCATGCGTCACGAGAGATGCGCGCAAAGCGATGTCATTCCATTCATCGACTATATTGTTTTACTTTCTTCATTCGCTTAAATCTACAATATTGGAAACAACAGTCGCCATGCTTCAAGCGCTCAAAAATAACCACAGTGCCCGAGAGGAGCAAATCAGGGCAACATGCATTTCCACGCGCTATGGGAAAGTGATAAGGGACTAATATTGTTAACAAAAGAACCCTTGTGAACGACATTAGTTCCTCACCACCTTCCCATAACACGTGGTAATGCATTTTACCCGGTTTTTCTTGTTCTGTTTGTTCTCACTCACGCTTAGCAAGTCTTGAAAATGGGCTCCTAGTTTCTGAGCGAATGAAGTTTGTAATAAAGTATTATCAACTTCAGTTATTGGGTATATTTATTTCTTTAATATTATATTGTTATCCTTATTATATGAAATCAATGTATGAAAGGTTGAGTTTCAATAGAAGGCCTGACCATATGGAATTACATTTGGTCTTAAGACAAAGTACGAGGATTATTATATACACCTAGACATCGCCTAATTTTCTTATCGTATAAAACCTTATTTTTAATCTTAATTCTTAATATAGAAACTTAAAGTATTTTACCCACCAATATAAGACAATAATTCAAACATATAGCGGAGAGTCGGGTAGCCCCGCTCACTTAAGGAGTATTGCTTATATTTCAGTATAATACTGAGTAATAATCAAACTTTTTGTATGTTTCTATTGTTTTATCATCTAATTGAATAATGCAAAAAGAATAAACCAAAAAAAGAATAGTTAAACTTCAAAAAATAGAAATTTAAAAAAACATGTTTTTCAGCTCTTTTCAAAATGTGTCGGGTAGCCCCGCCCAGTTACAAAAATTGTGTTTTTTGGCTATTTTTTCAGGTGTAAATGAGAATGACCAATGTATTGACAATAGATAAACCTCATTTATCATTTTTATCACAAAATTATTTTATTTATTACATATTTATATACTTTTAGTGAATTCTATCATTTAATAACAACAAATGTCATACTTTTTATCATTATTAATGTATATTAATATATTATAATATTAATATATATTTATATTAAATATTTAACGAAAATAATTTAATTTAAGTAACAATAATTAATAACAATAGTTGTTTTTCAATATAAACTTATTTGGTTGATCTCTTCTTATAAACTTAATATAAAATACTTCTTATAAAATTACAAATTCACTTTGTATTTTGATTGCATTCAAATGCTTCTGTAGATTGATTCGTTCACAAATAAGTGAAAATAAATAAGTAAGCAAATAGCTTATCATAATATTTATGATTTCTTGATATTAAATTTAATTTGGATATATCAATTACATTTTAAAAATATTTAATTTTTCATTTTTAAATATATAAATTTATGTTTCATATAATATTAAAACATATATTTGTTGTTAAAAATGCATATAACATTCAAATTTGAAGCAATAAAATAATAATCTTTGCAACCGTACATTTATCGACGAAATAAAATTGGGCGGTGATACCCGACATTCATGTGAGCGGGGCTACCCGAAATCCAATTTTTTTGTAAATTTGTAATTACTCGAACAATTTTTTACATACAAACTTCTTTCTTTGTGCAAATTAAACTTAAGACTACATACTTTAATGCTGTATGTATAGAAAAAATTATTTTTTTAGTATTAAAATGAAGTTTAATCGAAACATTCAACCAATTTTTCTTAATTTCATGACTACTGTATTCAACATATTTTCAAAACTATTGTTTACCATGTTACCAGCTGCATAAATACTTGAAACTTTGAAAATAATCTTTTTTTAATACAACAATTAATGTCCGATGGCCCATTGACTTGAAAAAATATTCTATACATATGAAATTGACTGTGGGCGGGGCTACCCGACTCTCCCCTATGTTGGACAATCATACTCTTTGTTGGCGAAGTAATTAAATTTTTAGAAAATTATTAAAGCTTAAGTAGTATTGTCACATTTACACTTAATGTAAAATGACAATTTAATCTATAATTTTAACTAAGCCTTTAATTTTTCTTTAAACTTTATTCCTCTTTTCAATATAGCAATTTTATTTTAACTTTCTTGTTGACCTCCCTCGCGGTCATCGCGCTTCCTGTGGGGGAAAATCAACCCCTCCTTTTTACTTCTTTTATTTTTTTAGGGGGGTAACTAACCAATCTCTTTCCTTTAATTTTCCAAGTCTCCTCCTCTTTAAATTTAATTGGTTGTAACTTTTCTGGTCCTACACCAGTTAAGGAATTTTTAAGTCACTTTTAATACATTCTCTTTTTGTGCTTCCTTCTTGCTGGTTTTTTTTCTTCCGAGATGCGGACTTCGGTCCGTATCGAGGGATTTCTTTTTACATTTTTTCTTGACCTTTATCTTAAATTAAATCCATAACTATAATCAATTTCTGTAAATTTAAAATCAACATTTTATAACTTTAATTTTCTTTAACATTAAAAAAAAACCTTCTCGAATTTAAGCTTTCTTTCCATATTTATTTTAACCTTTAAATTACTCATTCTTTTATATTTTACTTTTATCTATGACACCTTCTGTGTTTTAATTCTCCCGTCACCCATTTCAATAAAATGCCTTTCTTGTGTTAGTAGATGTGGTGAAAGATGTATGTTACTAAATAAAATGATATGTTAATAATTTGATCTTGTGATGGAGAATTTATTTGCTTCTATTTTCATGGATTGTCTTTATCATGTCCTCCTGTATGTGTGGTTTGTGCCTTTTTTATTTTTAAGGGAACTTGTAATTTTCTCATTGGAAACATCATCTTACTGTATTAAATGTCAAGTCTGTATCTGGATATAGCATATCATTTATTGTTTTCATCTTTAATCTTAGGTTTATTTTTGTTTCGCCCTTTTTCCAAATTTGGTGATACCAAATTATCCAATTTGTTCAAACCTCACACTTTGTGATCCCCCTTTGAACCTATTGGGTTATTGTTATCCCTCATTAGCTTTGTACTACCACTTTCCTTAAAGATCACATCCCCCTTAATTTAATTTAATTACCTTTTATATATTTCTGCCTTAATTTGTTTTTTTTTTTTTCATTACATTTCAATCATTTAATTATTTTTTATCATGACTATATCCAAATACAAGTATTTTACCAATGATTTCAACCCATCTATCAATTTTAATACATAATTTTATTTAATACGCACCAAATAATATATTTTAACTCTAACAAGTATTATGCTGCCAAATTAAGAAATTTCAACTCAACTTGATAGCTATGAGCCGCGATGGCTCAGGGGATAGAGCGTTCGCCTTCCAATGAGGTGAACCGGGGTTCGATCCCAGCGATAGCTGGTCGATACGAATTCCGCATCCGGCTTGCTCCGACCACGGTGCTGACGTGAAATATACTAAGTGGTGGACGGATCATGGGTTAGAGTCCCCTTGCCGTTCTGCTAACCATGGGAGGTTCTCGTGGTCCTCTCCATGTAACGCAAATGCGGGTTAATTTCATGAAAAAAGTCCTCCTTGAAGGCAGATTTCTCCCAATACTTGATCCAGGAGTTCCCTTGCCTGCTGGATTGGGTTCAAAATTACAAGACTGCAGAGTNTTAGTAGTCGTAAACCCAAAAATTGGGTCGACTGTTCAACAACGGTTATAAAAAAGAAAGAAAAATTGCTAGCTATACTGCAGGTCTAGTAGTCATTCAATAAAATACTTAGGCAATATGTGAAATATTATTCATTTCATATTTTACCTACTTTAGCCATTCTATAGAATGCCGGATTTCATACAGTGACTGTGTTATGTACGTACAAAGAAAGGAAAAAAAACAAGTCATGAAAATATCAAAATATATTTAATTGGGATCCGTATGTTACAGTTCCAAAAAGTATCACAAGGAATTGGATCGAAATCACGCATTGTGCTGAAACACACAAATAATACATTTCAAATGGATTATCTACAGTCAATCTTTTTCTTCACACTAATAAACTGATGTAAAATAAATGATGAAGTATGAGCGTTATTCAATGGCCTAATTTTTTTCAGACAGTTGCTTCTTTTTCTTGAACCTGTTGTTCGGGATGTGCTTCATATTTCTCTCCTTTGCGAATTAAAATAATGTGTATAATAACAAATAAAATCGCCGCCAACGATGTCGCACCTGTTAGGAAAACAAAAAGCACATTCGGGTATGTACTGAGGTACATGCTGATGGTGAGGGGGACCACCATTTCCAGCACACACGAAACTAAGGTAAATACTGATGCTATACGACTGTTAATATTGATGTATCTCTCCACCCACGCAAGCACACCCGGGAAAAGGGGTGCCATCGAAACACCCAGCATGGCACCACCCACCCACAGAGATGTCACGGATATATTACCAAAAGTTAATAATACTATAGCTGCTGATACTGATAATACTAATGAACATGCTAAAATTTTTCTGATGTCCAATTTGCAGGTTAGAAAAATGGATAGGAATCTGGCGGTAGTGAAAGCGCTCCAATAGGCGGATGTGATGTAGGAGCCTTTGCTTTTCGAAAGTCCGTGAGAGCTGTTGACCACATAGGTTGTGATCATTTGTGTGAAGCTCACTTCAATTCCTGAGGACAGACCAGTGAGTATGCACGCGAGGGCGACGACGATGGATGTAAATAAATAGCCCGGATTTCGAACGTTTTCACTTTCGGAAGCTTTTTCGGAGGATGCGTTTTTAGGGGGAAGGAAGAGAACAATTAGAATAAAAAAACAAGTAACAAACGTTGCGAGGACGCCAGCAATCATGTATACCCATGTTATGGTTGGAACTGTGGCGACAATTTCCACTTTGTCTACAGTTATGTTTAGGAATGTGACGTTTGGAGTGACTGTAGCATTGAGCTCTTTGAGTGGTGCATTTAAAGAATCGTCCAAGAAAGGTGCAGCTAGGACTGGTGCAAGGAAGGCACCACAGCCATACAGCAAGTGGAGTCCCTGTAACACTGGAGCACTTTTTTTACCCCATATTCGGAGACAGCTGGCATTACATCCTGAAAAGAAAATTAATAATTAGAATGTTTTACAATAGTTCCAGGAAGTGATGGGTTAGAAGTAATAACTAATTATTTTAATAAAAAGTTAGGAACCAAAGATAAGCCAAACGAAATTGGAACGATATGTATGTTAGCAGAAACAGCACTTCATCAGGGGACATACTGTCTGCTAACAAAGTGTGCCCCCTGATGAAGTGCTGTTTTTGCTAATATACATATCTTTCAAATTCCGTTTGCCTTATTTTTGGTTCCTAACTTTTTATTTAAATTGCATAAGACAAAGCTTTTAGTGCTTTTCCATTTTAACATATTATTTTAGAGTTTTATCCTAAAATTTTTATCTTATAATTTGTTTAAATCAATTTCATACTTTGATTGGATAACTATTTAAATTTTAATAGAGATTGTTTACAAATTTCTGATAACAAGCTATCGAAGTTCACTATTAGTTGATTCTTAGTAGTTACAACAGCTAATATTGAATTACGATTGTAATTAATAATGAGGTTAAGCCATTTCTGGGTTTTTAAAACCAAACTACAACTTTCAAAACCGTTTCTGGCACCAAAAGCTACAAACAAGTAGAATTAATAATTTATGAATATTTATGGTTAAATTTTGATTACATGTGATCCCGGTTGTATCTTATCTTTATAACTAAATTTTACTTTAATTGTAATAATGGACATTTGCAAGGATAATTACATTGATCAAAAAATAATGGATAATTTCATTTTGTACGACTATGGTTCATATGAGGCTTCCAATTTCAAATAAGTTCAATCATTTTTTCGGCTTTCTTCTTGTGTTTATTCTTACATTATTTGAATGATTACGAAACTTTCAAATCCGTCAAAAAAGTGTGCTTGTTCAGTACCTTTTAATGATTAATTTCGTATCTTAAGATATCGCTTGAATTAGCATATTTAAAGTTAGACCCTCGAACCATCGAGTCGAAATACGTGAAAATTCGAACATTAAGTCAAAAGTTATTCAGGATTTTCACTTTTTAATATTGGGCCACGATTATCTGGTCGATAGGGTGCTGGGTCCATGACCGAGAGTTCGTGGGTTCGAACCCCGCCGGCCGAAGTCTCCCGGTGTAGTAAATGGTGACTGATGCACGTTAAGTCTGTCGAGTCGCGAAGTCCTCCATGTTCCCATAACAAATCAAAACCTCTGGGGGTACTGGATTGGAGATCGATCGTTTTCGGAATCAGGTCAAAATTACGATCTATGGATGTATGAATGGGTCCGCCCTATAAACGGATGTGACGTATGGGTGTGGTAGAAGTCGAATTCTTGACCATAGATGGCGCCATTGGAAAACAAGAATAATCACACTCCTCTACCTAAACAGGCATACGAAGAGAGAGAGACGTTTTAATATTACTCGCCGTACATAGAACGATAGAAATTAATCGTCCCGAATAACTTTTGGTCGAATCTTACCATTCTAAAATTCAATCTTAATGATTCGAAGGGGTGACCTCAAATATGTTAATTAATGCAAACGATATTGTAAGTTACGAAATTAGACACAAAAACGTACTTTCTCTGAATAAACATACCGTTTTTTCGGCAATTTCGGATTTCTAATTCCCAAAGTATAGGGTGCAGCCGCAATCTGAGAAATAGGGTGTCCCAATAGTTTAATCAGTAGACCCGACCAAAGTTTGGATCCCTTAATGTTTTCACTTTTTGCGTATTTCACCGTATCTCCAGAACTTCTAAGCGAATTGGGAAAAAATTTTTTGCATACAATTATAAGATTTGTTTATTCAAAGATATTCTTATTAAAAAAATAGCTTTTAGTAAATATTATATTTACTAAAAGTCAAAAAATTTTTAAATTGTAAGGTTTAAAATTTTTGTTTTGTTTTACGAGGTATTATCTTTGGGTATATGAATTTCATATTCATGTGCTAAAATTTTTTCAATGTGCATGAAAAGTTATCGAGATACAGCGACATACATAAAAAGGAAAATTAACACTAAGGTGACTAAACTTCGGACTGCTCTCTTGACCAGACAATTAGGATCATATTCCCCAGATTGCAGCTACCCCCTAAATTTTGGGAGTCAAAAATCATAATCCCTAGAAAAAAAGATATATTTATTCCGACAAAGTACGCTTTTGCGTCTGATTTCGTAACTAAAATATCGTCTGCACTATAAGTAGCATATCTGACGTCTCCCCCTCGAACCCTTAAGATTTAGTGCTAGAACGTGAAGATCCGATCATTAGATCAAAAGTTTTTAAGGGTGGTTCTTTTTTTCATCTTGCGCTCTGTTCATCAAAACCACCTATTAAAAAAATACTGCAATTCATTAATTTTTGTTTTTCATGTTAACATATGTTTATGAAGACTACATAAATTGGAATACTATCTAGAATCTACTTGTGTTTCGTCAGAGGTTTTTTCTTTTTCAGGCAAACACTGCTTCCTCGATTCTAAAATACCATACTTCATTTTATTTTGTCACTTTTAACTTATGTCTCCGTTTAATAAGCTTAATATACTATTATATAAGCTTAATAATATATTATTATTATTATTACGTATTGTTAAGTTTCTAACACGAATTTTTAAAATCTCGAATTGCGTTAAACGTGTTTTAAATCCCTGAGAAATAAGCGATTTCAAAATACAAACTTATGTCTAGAGCTTTGTTTTGGTTTCCACTGAAACAGGAAGTCAACTGAATTTCCAGACAGTTGCATCATAATCTCTTGCCGCAACAGCTTTCTCAGCATCGTGTTATGACGTTAGGACGATTTTTATTAATACAATCATTTTTGAAACATAATTTATTTGGCGTTCTTGTTATTGGTTATAGAAAATTCCTTAGCAATGATTGCATTTGCCAATAAATTATTTGCATTGTAGAGAAGTTGATCAAAATAACGGAAACACTTGAGCCTCGATGGCTCAGGGGATAGAGCATTCGCCTTCCAATGAGGCGAACCTGGTTTGAATCCCAGTCGATACGAATTCCGCATCCGGCTTGCACCGACCACAGTGCTGACGTGAAATATCCTCAGTGGTAGACGGATCATGGGTTAGAGTCCCCTTGCCGTCAGGCTAACAGTGGGAGGTTCTCGTGGTTTTCCTCTCCGTGGAGGACTTTTTGATGTATCAAAAAGTCCTCCACGGAGGCAAATGTGTCCCAATACTCGATCCAGGAGTTCCCTTGTCTTCTGAATTTGGTTCAAAATGACAAGGCTACGGAGTTGAACTTTAGTAGTCGTGAACCCATGATTGGGTCGGCTGTTCAACGACGGTTATGAAATAAAATAAAATGCAAACACTTCTCTCTCCGTGTAAATAATTTTTCTTTTAGAAACAAATGTTTCCGAAGATTTTACATACAAAGCTGTTGGTACAATTTGAAATGTCATCTTTGAAGCTTTTAAAAATAAAGCATTTTTACTCATGTAATAAATAGAGGACATTTTCTTTTAGTTTTGATACCATTTTTATTTGTAGTGGTGTAAATATAGAAATTAGGTTTCAACTTCTTGCGCTCATTTTGGCCGATGCAAATTTTTCATGCTTGTAAAAGACACCATTTCTAAAAACTTCAAACATTATCTTTCAAGTTGTGCCAACATTTTCGCCATGTAAAATCTGCTACTAAATGAAAGATTGTTTTCATAGAGTTAGGTTTCCATTATTTTGATCAACCCTATATACATCAAACTAAAAATAATACATGAAGGGATCGTGTCAAAAGAGTGATAAGCCACACTTATTCCAATTAAACATTTTTACAGCAAACAGTACAGGTAAGTACTCAACAAGTTTCCGGTATTTCAACTGCATAACAACACACTGCACATATTGCTATATTAATTAGAAATGGAATTTTCCCCCAGAAATTGTTCGATAACATGGTTTATTATGATATTGTCCCAAACCCTGCATTTATAATTTTTATTCGAATTTTTATAATTACCTGTGTTGCTAAAACCTATTGCAAATCCAGTAATAACAAATGTTCCAAGTAGCATTGGTAGACTTCGACAAAAAGGTATGACAAATGCTCCCAAAGCTATGAATAGGCTGCTGCAAATCATAGCCAATTCCTTCGTTTTCAAGCAATCAAGTATAATGCCACCTAGTGAAAAAAAAAAGTCTTACTATAAAGTACATGTTAGCTTTCAAAATTCATTTGATATTTTAAAGTTTCGTAAAAAAAAGCTAATGTTGATTTTTTTTTCATTCAAAATGTAAACTGGATTACACCGTAGGGAAATTGCCCTGCAACAATTTGCATTTTGATACTTTCAAGGAAAAAAAAGATCAGTATTTGAAACTTAGTTTACCCTAGCTTTTTCCTAAATTCATTTTTCCCATTCTTTAAATTTTAACTTATTTACGTCGATGATAGAAAATTTGCCACGAAAGATTTATCCCGCGGTAGAGTCCTCTTAAACTATCAGGATGCTAATTAATGAGTGCAGATGATGCTTCATGTTAAGAAATCAGACTCAAAATTATACTTTCTCTAAATAAACACTTTTTTTAATACTGCTTTACATTTTTGACCCTTGATGTTATTTTTAGTTTTATTAAGAGTTTAGATCTATCCGAAATTATTTAAGCTAATAAAATTATTTTTGTGGACAATTATAAAACTAGATTGTTCAAATGCCATACATAAAATATTTTCTGATTTAGTTTGTGTAAAATTTTGAGTTGCAATACATGCCATAACTTGAATACCATTTTAAGCTATGAAATTTTAAAACAAGAGTCAAAATCTGAATGGAAATGTTCAATTAGTTCAAAAAAATAAAAATTTATTTCCTCAATAATTAGTGGTAGTTCTCAATTAATAGATCAAGAATAGGATTTTATTTAAAAGGATGGAGAAGTACATATACGTAATCAAAAAAATCCGGTTATCGTTAAATTAAACTGCAATAAATAGTTATGACTAAAAAGGTTTTTTTTTGCAAGTTTTATAATTACATTCCGTATATTTTAATTGGCTCATAAAGTTTCCAGGATATGCCGAAATATGCAAAGAGTACGAGTAGAATTTACATTAAGACAGAAATTTTTTAAACAACTCAGTCCCTGCTCTCTATGTTTTGAGGATCCAAAATTGAAATCCCATGAAAGCACAGGCTTGTTTATTCAGAGAAAATTTATTTTTGTCCGCTTTCGTAACATAAAATATCGCCTCAGCTGATTAATAAGCTATTTAAATTGATATTTATAGTCAAATCTTTATAACAAATATGAGTACATATTAGTTCCGTGATTAAGATCTATTAAGAGTTATAGATGTTTTAAACTGATACGTAACATCTTTGCATTTCTACGCGCGATTGGTATTTTATATTGCATATAATCGCATCATTTTATTATGTATTTTATTACAACGTACCGTTTTAACCTGTTTTATACAATTTTAATCAATTTCCACCTTTGTATGATTTTATTGACTTCTGAATTTTTTGCGTGTCATGTATAGTTTTAACAGTATAATGTATTTTGACAAAACAAATATGCTATATCTTACATTTATTAGGGAAAAAACAGTTTGTTTGGCGCAGCATGTCCTTTTTGGGACCTTGCGCCATTAAACCCTACATTCAACTCAACTTTAAACCGATACAACGTTGTAAACGGACATAGTGTGTCACATGATCTAGATAAAAAAAAGCGCTATTTCTTTATTCGTAAGCCAAACCGAAAAAATTGCATGCCAACCTAAAGCAATCAGTGTCTAGGTAGAATAAGTGATGAAGGATATTTTCCTCTTACTTAAGTTTTAATCAAACTAACGCACCAATATTTATTTTTTACCGCAGCAACAGGTTCCAATTTGATTTAGTTGTAATTTTAACCTTGCTGCTTTGATTTTAAACCAGTTACTTTAGTTTTGACCTAGTTGATTTTGTTTTAAGTTCCCTGTGTTTTAAGATAGTTTATTTGATTTCATTTAAGATGCCTGTATTTTAAGGCTATTTTTTCGAAGGCTCCGTGAATATAAAACTATTCTTTTTTGCGAATAATAGGCTATTTTTATAACTACTATGAGTTTGGAACTGTTACTCATGACTGTTAGGTGAACTAACAGTCATGAGGTAGGCTAAATGCAGTATAGAATAATATAAAAATGCAGTATAGAATAATAAAGCTGGCTGCTAAATGCAGTAAATAATATAGCTGGCTTCAGATAGGCTAAACGACTATCTAAAGCCAGTTCTTATTCTGAAAGTGGCGCAAAACGTCAATATGGAGAAAAGCTACAGTTTTGTGAAAATGAAAAGCGTTTGTGGTCTAATTTTTTAATATTTAAAAACTTACTCCAATTCTGCATTATCTGGGCTCGAAAAAATTTGCAAAAACGGAGAATGAGGCAGTGATTTTGAACATTTTCATCTGTGTGGAAAAATGCCACCACATTGGCAATTAAAAGAAAAGTTTAATAACTTTTAAAATATTTAAGTTATTTGTCTGTTCTAAAGCCCAGATAATTCTTCAAGACAAGATTATATGTATAGTTTGAAATCCTCGCATTGCTTCAATTGTAAGCCACGTAAACTACGCTTTTTTTATTTTCTTTGGCGACAGAGTTTCGAAAAACAGCGTAAGCCTAGTTGATTTGATTGTCTTTAAATTGCCAGTATTTTGTTTGATTTTATTTCCGTCAGTATTTTAACCACGTTTTTGTGATTTTTATTTGGCTTTAGGCGTAGTATAGGCAAAACATGTCTCTTGCACCAAAAATTTATATCTATCTTCTTTGTAAGAAGGAATACTTTTAATATTAATTTTTATTTATCTTCTTATATATTTTTCTTCCTAAACGAGGGTGAATTGGATAATTTTTTTTCAAGAACTTATGTTATCGTATTTCACGAATAGCGTTGTTGATAGAGAGAAGAGAGACCTACCTGAGAGAGATCCAACCAAGTATCCTGTTGCCCGAGCCACGTAGATGAAAGAAATCCCATAGGCATCTGTTCCGCTGGAATGTGTCAAGTCTATAAGTGTTGGTCCTGGTATGGACATCATCAGACCCTATAATAAACACAAATTATCTTACTAACAACACTTTTTTTTCTTCCAATGCTCACCTGGGTTGACATTTCGTCAATTCAGGCCTATTAGGGCAAATTTGTTGGTCACTCTTTCAGTGGCACCCTATTAGGTGGGCCCATGTTGCTCCCACAGTAAGAACAGATGGTGCAGAGAATGCATCAGAACCTTTCTGATGCAAGGCGAGTTCCCTGACCCCTACACTGTCCGGTCGGTTACTCACAATACTTCGATTTCACCATTTGTGCCAATCAAACCTCCTCAATCAAAAAAATTGTTATGGACGAAATATCACAGAGGGAAAAAAAAAGATTAGTATTTGCTGGATTTGAGCATCGATTGCTTGAGTAAGTCATTATAGATAATGATTACATCTTGAACTACTACTTGTAAGCGTAAAGGTATGAGCTACCATTACAAGTAACTACGATGATTGTTTTTTAAGTAAGAGCCTTTTTTTGTTGTGTACACTAATAGGTGACGCATGTCCCGGCATTCCTAGGGAACAACTGTAAACAAGAATCCTTGCATGTTAAATTGTTATATCGTTAAACCGTGAGCGTTGTCTTATACCGGCGGCTTAAATCAGATTTCTGATACATCGCCTAAAATGAAAGTCCCAATCGAGCGGCTCAAATCAGGTTTCTGATGCATCACCTAAAACGAAAGTCATTATATCGGCCTGCCGATATATGAGTTAAATCGATATTTCGATATACATCCATTTATCGCCCAGTCCTAATCATGAATTAAACGAAGAAATTAAGAGGAAAGATGGCTTATCAAATCATAAAATAAATGCGAGAAAATATAAGAGATCTTTTATACTGACTGACATTTAAATCAGAGTACCTAACACTGAGAGTTAATTTCCTCCTTCATCGAATTTGATAATAATTGAGGGTAGGAAGGGAAGAAGTCTGAAGTGGGTGAAAAAATTTATTTCGTGAAGGAACGAAGTCTGGAATATATTTAAATAAAAATAAGAATCAATCGGAAAAATATGGAAAAATAAATTAAAATATTTACAAATAAGGGGGTGAATTTCTCGCCTCCCCAGTTAGCCAGGCTTCGTAGTTACAAAATTTGTCTAAATTTGGGTTAAAATGTTTAAATACTACACCTTCTATACTAAAGAAAGCTGTGCCAGGACTAAACTTAGCATTTGTGTCTATTTACTCAAAATCCAATACTTTGTTCAATAATATCTTAATAAACTCAACGCTTCTTTAAGGATATTGTAACACTGCCATTATAACGAAGTATCTTTCGCATAGTTTATATTATTATACTAGATTATTTATATTTAAAGCGATAGTATTAAGTTATGATTTACAATTTTATTTTTAAATTTAAAAATTTGATTTACTGTGATTTCGAACTGCACTATATTATATTCAGTTTAAACAAATATACAATGTACCTGGGAATCAGCCAGTGAAGTTTTTAAGAACTGACAAAATGACATAAACTGAGAATATTTTAACTGTTAATTTCCTACGATTTTAAAACCCTGGTTAGTGCTGTAAGATTTCCAAGTTGTCATCTACTTATCTCACATTTGATGCATAACTAAAACTATCGATATTTCTTAGAGTTAAATTTCTTGGCTCTTGTTTTTAATTTTGAAGAAGGAAAATAAAAAGGAAGCGTGTCAATATGCAATAAAATTATTTGAAAATGTTAAAGGAATTCCAATTTACCTTTTTCGTTATTACAGAAAGGTAAAAAAAATTTTTTTTGTTAAATTACATGCGTATTGAAATGAAATTTGAACTGTTTTATTGCACAATATCTTACCAGAATTGCATACATGTAGTAGTGTACGGCTGTGCCCACGTAGTCCAATGTTTTACCTTTTAAATGAAACATTTTTTCTGTGGTAATGCTATGCTGAATCTGAAAAAAAAGGAGAGAAATTATAAAAAATCAAACGAAAGAAAATTTTTAATCGCATATCAGCACAATAATGTATCAAATTGTGTTGATTAAAAAATAACAGAATTAACAAAAGATGCACAACAGTAAATGAGCATGATGGAAATAAGAGAAAAAAATGATCATTCCCTTTAAAAAAAAACATACTAGCAAACGAACCATTTATAAAGAAAAATAAGCAAAACTGAGAATTAAATAAGAAATAAGCAAAACTGAAAATTAAATAAGAAATAAGCAAAACTAAAAAATAAATAAGAAATAAGCAAAACTAAAAAATAAATAAAAAATAAGCAAAACTAAAAATTAAATAAAAAAATAAAGAAAATTAAAAAATGGAAAAAAATAAGAAGAACTGAAAATCAATTTTAAAAAAAGCGTGCATAAATTCAAAGAAAAAGTTGGTCTCAGATCTTACCAAATTATTTGGAATGATTCTTACAATCCGTGATGAATACGCTTTAGACGATTTTTTTTTGCACGCTTCTTAAATTGGGAAAAATAATTATTCTGATATAACCTAAAGTAAATCTATTTTCTTAAAAAAAAAAATTAAAAATTCTTATCTAACTCGGAAGTTTAAAAATAAATTAAATTTGAAAATAAAAAAAATAACTAATTGTGCACAGTTTCAAATCTTTTTAAATAAAACAATAAATACTTAGTAAACAAAAATATTAAATTAATCAAAATAAACAATAACGTTAGAGAATTTTAAGGAGTAAATGCACGGAAATACACACATTTTTCAAAACAGAATGTTTAATGCAGCTCTCACATTTTCTTAATCTCTTTAAAAGAATAATAGGGCTTCATATTTTTTCTAAAATCTAAAATCCTTAATCTAGGTATTATAATTATAAAAAAAAGTACAGTTTAGTTTTACAATTATAATAACTATCGAAATTTTTTTTAAATCTGAGTAAGGTGGTGCGCAACATTATGTCGACATATTTGACTTAAGAATCAAAACTTATAGTTTAAAAAAATATAATAGTCTATTTTAAGAATCAAGCACAAATTTCAATTAAAAGCGATTCTCTCTATATAAATAATTTTATTAATTCTTAATTAAAAGAAATTATACAACAATTATTTAAAATCTACCCTTAATGTTAAAAATAGTGTTTTAAACTTGCGCGTCAAATTGTGTTTTGCTCCTAGAATAGATATTTTAATGCAAGTTAAAAGTACTTAAGTCTTATGTATTGGCGTTACATTGCGGGTCATGTACCTCACATTTTCAAAATATTTTAAAAATTGTTAATAGTTACATTAATATAATTAAAAATAGTTCAATTTTAAATTTGAATTCCTCTTTTTAGAATGAAATGTCTTCTCAATAGTACGAAGTTCAACTATCCTTTTGTAAACAGAAAAGGAAACAACATTTATCGCTCTGCCAGTACTAGTGACAATCCTTTTTAATTAAAGTTCCTTACAATTGTATTAAACCATAATTTTATATTAGTTTTTCCTTATAATTATATTGTGATGGATAAAATTAGGTTTAGCACCCACATAAAATATTGGAATTTTTTTCTTCTTCTGAATATAGTAACTTTATATAATATATTAATACAAAAGAAAAATTGATAAAAATAGTAAATACGTCTAAGATTGATGTTCTTTTGTTAAATTTCTTTTTGAAAATCTCAAAAAAAACTATTGCATGTTGAAGTCTTGGTTTAAATGTCACTAAAACCATAATATTGTTTAGCTCTCATGATTATAGTTTCGAATTAATTTATAGCAGTATCACCTAGCAATGTATTAAAATGCTAATTGGCATCAGCGATTATTACGAAAATATATAGGGGTTGGAGAAAATTATGGAAACAAACACACATCGGACAGTGAAATGTTTCGAAAAATATTCCACCTTTTATTTAGAACTTCGCCGGATTTTATTTTTTTTAATTTAAGTCCGATTTTCTTTTGAAAGTGAGAAACACCTATTACGCGAAGAAGTACAGTACAAAATATGTAAACATTTCTATACGAACTCCTTGTAAACAATCTTAATTTTTGCAGCAAATGCTAAGACAGATTTTACATGGCAAAACTATTGGCAGCATTTGAAAGATCATTTTTACGAAATGAGGAGAGGAAGTTAAAAACTTTATTTAACTTTAATACCAGCAGTTTTGATATCATTCCGCAAGATTGCAATATTTATATTAAAATGATTTCTTTTAAATCTTAGTGGTATTGGAAAAGACTGAAAAAATTTTAACTTTCTATGCTCATTCTGTTCGATGCAAATTTTTCATGGGTGAACCATTTCTTAAATCTTCAAGCATGGCCTTTCAAGTTTTGAAAACAGCTTTGCCACGTGAAACCTCCCAAAACATTTGCTGCTAAAATAAAGATTGTTTAAATAGAGTTAGCATAGAAGTGTTTCCATACTTTGTACTGTGTAGATCACGTGATAGACTTTTCTGACTTTGAAAAGAAAATCGAATTTAATCAAACTAAAATAAAAATCGCATTAATAGAAAATCCGGAGAACTTCTAAATCAAAGGTGGAATATTCTTAAAACCAGTCCGATTTGGGGGCAGATTTCCGTATCGTGATCTGTGGCAAAAAAAAATCGCCAAGTCTTTGAAACTTCCGGGCAGTGGCCCGCGAGAAACTAAAAAAAAAAACATCACAGATAAGGACCAACTCGAAAGGTATAACTTGTAGCCATCCCCGGGCAACAATAAAATGTTTTGTTTTTTAAAAAAATTGCAAGTTTAAAATCTATTTGGCACCTTGGCGATTGTAGTTAGCGCGACAGATCACGATACGGAAATATCCCCCGATCTGGTTTTGTGGGTGAAGTTGTGATTTTGTGAGTAGAATTTATAACACCTTTCTTCTGAATTGCTGGAACTTCCAAGTCGAGTGCCTTTTGTGTCGAAGAACAATTATAAAATTACAAGCAAAAATTCTAAAAAATAATAATGTTTAGACCTCTTCTTGAACGAAAGGTATACTTGCTTTCTTAATGCGATACTAAATGCAAATCTCGAGGGTCGACATGAAGATGGTTGGCGTAACAGAAAGTATAAATTCTATCTACCGCACGTACGGCAACATGGATGTAGTCTTTTTCGTCCTGTTATGCAATGTGAAACGATTTTTTTAGGGGGGAGGGAAATAAATTCGATGCACATCAAGAAAGTCTTTCAAATTCTAGAGAAGCAGTTTCATTTTATATCAAAATTTCAAGCTGCACTTGGTGAGCATTCACTTTTCAAAAATTTAAACCTATCACACAAAACTGATTGCACTAAAGAAAACAAAAGTAAAAATAACACTTAGTTTCAAGACACATACTTCCTGGAATTAAATATCAAAATACTTTTCATGTTTTTTGGTACAAACAACTTCATATGACTAAAAGGTATCATGTGATTGAAAGGTACCTTACAGAAGGATATCAAACGATAACTTTTTATGACTCAACCAACTGGTGGTCGACGAAGCACATATACTCCGCTAAGTAGTCCAAACGATCCTTGTTATTTAAAATTTAATTTGTCTTATTTTTTTAGCATATTATTAAAAAATATAAAATGAGTTTATCTATTACATTAACAATCAGTGATAAACTGTTGTAGATATATTTAATGAACTCCGTCTTATTTATTATTCTATTCTTAATAAATTCATTCTTATTATTCTATTATCAATAAACTATTTTTTAGTAACTTCATGCCAATTATTCTATTTTTAATGAAATTATTCCATTTTGAACAAATTCATTCTTATTATTCTACTTTTAATAAATTCACGCGTATTATTCTCTTTTTTATGATCTCTTTATTATTCTATTTTAAATAAATTCCTGTTTATTATTCTGTTTTTAATAAACTTGACTATTATTCTATTTATAACTCAAGCATTATTATTGCATTTAATTGTTCTGATTATTAAGATAAACGTAGAAAACTAAGGAATAGAAAAAAATAGGGTTGTCAAGTGCAATATTTTTCTTTAATCTAAATATCAAGCACAATAATCAGTTAAAAAAATATTTCACCTTCATGCTATGCTAACTATTAACCCATATTTTTATTTATTTATTTTACTTTTATTTTTTAAATTTTTATTTATTTATTTTATTTTTATTTTTTAAATTTTTATTTATTTATTTATTTTTTTTTTTCATTTATGCCTCAAGAACTCTGAAAAAATAATGAAAATAGTCTAACAAGATTAAAGCTCAACAATAAAAAATAAAAAAAAAAGTGCGTAACTTACCCCAAATGAATGGAAGTTACGGAGCGCGGCAGTCGTTGCTGCTAGATCGAGCTCGCAATTATAAAAAGGAAAGACAAATAGACAGCAATGATTAAAATACTCAATTTTAGATTGCTTTCTTTCATCATAATCATTTCACATGAGTCTTTAAATACTTTTAAGAGATGCGATGATGGCGTCCAAAGCCCTTTTGTGACCTCAGGACTGATGACGTCACAGGCATTTATTAAACATTTCCCTGGCATTGAAACTAGAGATTTTTTCGTAAGTTAGAGAGTTATTCTTTTTAAATCTGCTACTTTCTCTCTCCCATCACTAAAAACACGAGAAAACAGAAGAAATAGAAAGAAGAATGACGGAAGTAGCAGATCTGTTAGGATTTCCCTCGCACGTTGATTGATGGAAACGTGACGTGATGATGGAGATGGCTTCCATCGTTTCCAATACACGTTTCTAGAAATTTGTAAAAAATCATCGACCCTGTTCTCAAGGCACTTTTGCGATCAACAAATACAATCCGATGGAAGGTTCCACGACTATTTTTTATTTATTTATTACTATTGTTTTGTTTTTTTAATAGTTTTCGATCAGAAGAATTGTCTTTCATCGCATTGTATTTTTTTAAAAATAATTAGTAAGATCTAGCAGTGCAAAAGGAAATTTAAATAATTTTAAAAGAAATTCATTTCGTCCTTTTTTATGTAGAGTTGCATACAGTTATTAGTATCCAGTAAAAATAGGTTTTAAGCCTGATATCATCTGGAAAAAAAGTTCAATCCAGTGAAAAACTGATATCTACCCTCCTCTTACTAAAATATTAGAAAAGTGCACGTTGGATTTTAAGGGTGGGGGCTAAGAAAGTTGTCATATAGGCGAGTCATTCATTAGCAGGTACTTTTTAGATAATTCGGTAAATTAGCCGAATGAATTTGGTTTTCAAATTTATAAATGAAAGTGTAACTTTGTGTTGTCGTAGGCCATTAAGGCACAGGGGGTGTGATTGTTTTTGCTTTCCAGTGGTGCCATCTATGGCCAAAAATTCGACTTCTGCCACATTCATACGTCACACCCGTTCATACATCCATTCATTCATCTACAGATCGTAATTCTAGTCTGAACCAGAGAACGAACAATAACAAATTTAGTAACCCCAGAGATATAACTTGTTATGGGACCATGGAGAACATTGTGAACCGACAAACTTAACGTGTACCAGTCACAATTTGCTAGTCTTCGTCTGGCTGGATTCGAACTTCCGTTCTCACGAGCGTGCGTCCAGAGCCCTACCAACCAAGCTGTCCTGGCCCCAAAGCAGAACTTATAATTCATTTATTATTCTCAACCTTTTCAATAATTTTAATGATATTGCGCCTTTTTTTCCATTAAATCTTTTAAACATAGGCTTTAAAACGTTCAAATGTGTAACTAAATTTGTGATATTTCAAATTGTTATAATTATTCGAGATATAATTTTTGTTTACATGATTATAAATATTTGTTTTAATAACTTTTATAACATCAAAATCATTTTTCCTTATCTTTTAATCTATCGGACCCTAGCTGATCGGAATTATTATAAATTAGTCAGACTTCGATCAATGTAAAATTTTCTTCGATTCCTAACCCCCAAACCCTGCTAAAATCTTAAATGCATATTAGATACTAGGGGGTTAAGCCCCCATGATCACTGACGCTCATCGACCCCGATGATTGCTGTTCCTTGGAATGAAACAGTTGAAACTATTCAGCTAAAGAAACTATTCAGCAAAAACCATGAAACTATTCAGCACCTGGCTAGGAGAGTCCATGGAGGCTAAGGCTCTACAATTTTGAGTCGGACGGCATGATGGTGGCAACGTGGTCATGATGGCACAGCGACTGCCTTTACTTTCCTAACACATTGGTATCACGATGGCTCTGTGCCATCGACGCGATGTGTCACGATGGCACGGATTCATCACGGCTCTTTTGCAAACATTATATTATGTGGAAATAGGCTTTTCAAGGTCACGCTATTTTTCCACTCTCCTCACCTTTCCTCTCTCCGTCACCATGGTTTCGGTAAATCTTGCTTTTTTCCCATGCCGGTATATTTTAAGTACGTACTGTCATGGGAAAAAGCAAGATTCACCGAAACCATGGTAACGAAAAGGGGAAGTTGCGAAAATTGCGTAATTTTGAGACGTCTATTTTATTTACGAAGAGTGTAAGAATGTAAAATGCATTATAAGAGAAATCTTTCACGTATTGAAGAAGTACTTGGGGGAAAAAAATAATTTTTCTCGCAATGGCTTAAAACATGTGGCGATCGATTGCTAAATTTCAAGACATCCCTGACCCTGACACGAGTCGAAATAGTTCATTTGTTCTTAAATTTCGTAAATAGTTTCTGTGCAAGGTTGAATCGCAACACTATTTTATCGTCACGTCAATTCACACCCACAACGTAGTTAGACGTCATTTGCAGAGCCAGAGGTTAAATGAATAGGTTATGTAGGTTATACATTCGAGCAAAATTTTTGAAAACAAAATATCCCCCCCCCCAAAATAGAATATGCTAGTGAAACAATCCTAAACATCCGAAGAATTAATTCCTCTTATTTATTTTTCTCTGTGAATTATTTTTTTATTTATCCAAAATAGGAAAGTGATTTGTTTGATTGCGTCAAAAAAGTTATTTGATACAATCGTTTTGTTTGATAAGTCGTTTCTGTAGTTTCATCTGGGCAGTATCAAATTAACCTTCGGATTATTCTGAATTGAACGATCTTTAAATAAAGGAGGGAAAATCATACTAAATTTTTTTTAAAGAAGGCGTACAGTGCGCCGAACAAAAAACGGATCACCATGAATAACTTTTGATCTAACGATTGGATCTTCACGTTCTAGTACTCAATCTTAATGGCATGAGAGGGTGACTTCAAGTATGCTAATTAATAAGTGCAGACGATAATTTAAGTTACGAAATAAGACATAAAAACATACTTTCTTTGAATAAACATGCCTTTTTTTTGACAATTTCGGGGGGTAGCCACAATTTGGGAAATAAGGTCCCCATAGTTTGGTCAGGAGAGCGTTTCCAAGTGTCGATCCCTTAATGATAATTATTTTGCTATATCTCGAGAACTTTTTTCTCTCGAGAACATTTCTTTTGCTATAGCTATCGAAAATTTTTGAGCACAATTATACAATTCGTTTATCTATAGATAATAACCACGCAAAAAATCACTTTTAGTAAATATTTATTATTTAATAAAAAAAAAATTTAATTGTATAGTATACAAGTTTTTGCATCATTTTGAAGAATATAATTTTACATATAAAAAATACGAAATTTGAACGAAATCGTTCGAATAGTTGCTTAAAAATTTAATTTTAAATATCTGACTTTTTTTTTAAAATTCAATTTCTCGTGAACTTTTTTCAACCATTTTTGCTGACATTTTTGTATTTTGCCATGTAAAATTGTGTTCTTTAAAATAATGCGAAGAATTTGATACTTTACTATTCAAAATATTTTCCACCATTAATTAATAAAATAATAAATGTTTACAATAAATTATTTTTTTGCATGGCATTACTTTTGGACAAACGAATTTTATAATTATGTGTAAACATTTTTCAATTCGCTTAAAAAATTTCCGAGATCTAGCGAAATACGCTAAAAGTAAAATTAATATTAAGGGGTCCAAACTTTGGAGCGCTCTCCTGAACAAATGATCGGGATCCTATTTCCGAGATTGCTGCTACCCCCGATATTTTGGAAAAAATCCGAATCCGATGAGGAAAAGTTATGTTTATTCAGAGAAAGTACGTTTTTGTGTCTAATTTCTCAACTCAAAATATCGTCCGGACTTATTCACATATTTGAGGTCCCCCCCTCGAACCATTAAAGTCCGAGAAAGTGAAAATCCGATCATTAGATCAACAGTTATTCAGGGAAGACTTTTTTGTGCACTGTATATCACATTTTTTTAAAAAGAAAAATAACTAAAGCAGAATACTTTTTAAAATCTATTAAGAAATTGGAAGTAAAAAAAAAAATTAATAATCTTAATATATTTTTCTCTTATGTGGTTCCATAAATCTTGATATTTTTCTGTTGGAAACACTATTATTAATTTTCTTTTCGTTGCCTTAACAAATAATTTGAGGATCACAAAGAAATTTATTATGCTTTATTTCGGCGTTAGGTTGTCTTAGTAGTAATTTACGCAGTGTTAAAATAATTAGTTACACGCTAAGAATTTAGTTAGAATAATTTTGTATTTTTATAGGAATAAAAACTTAGTTACAAAGTATTTATTTCGATAGGTTTTTATTCCTATCTAAAATGTCTGTAGAAATTCTGAATATGAACAGTGATAGGGAGCCGCATACTGTCATAACAATTATTGGTACCGAAGTTTGCCTCTGCGAGTAATAACACAAAGATATTGGATGATTTTCAATTTATGAATCGAGAGGTGAGTGAGGAAGTAGTATAGCACTTAATGGAACATTGGGATGGATTTTCTATTTCATGTCGCGACAAAGGTGGAAATAATTTTAATATTTCTGCTGTCTACAGTGTTCCCCAACCCGCGGTCCACTCAAATGGTACCGGGCCGCCCAATTTCATTGAAACTGAATTTAAATTCCTAGGTTCATACCACAAATTAAAAATATCTGTGCTCCATTAAAATTTTATTTATTTAAAAAAAATGGGCCCCCGAAGGTGGTGACATAAATTTTTTAATGTTTTAAAACGATTACGGCCAGATGGAACAGTCTCATTGCAAAGAAACAAGCTCAGGGTTCTCATTGATTTACCCTTCTGGTATGTTAAAATGTTAAATCACTTCATATTTATTTTTTGGTGCAACTGTATTTTATTTTGAAGGCATGTTTAAATAATATTAAATTAAAATTAATAAATCAAAATAATCTAAAATATAAACAATCAACGCCCCCCCCCCTCAGTGGGCCGTGGTAAAATTATCAAACGTTGATAGGTTCGCGATGATAAAAAGATTGGGGGACACTTGTCTACAGACTGAATTGAGTACTTCACTTCAAGAAGAAGAACACACATACCCACACACATGACCCATGACGTCAGCACCAGCTAATCTTTGTCGGTGAAACGGCGCATTAAAGTTGAGCTAACTTTCTCTACA